TCCATGTCTGCGGACTGTCGAACGCTGGTATTTAAAATTCCAGCGAGGACATACTAGTGTTAGTGACAAATCTCGCGAAGGACGCCCAAAATCCGCCTTTACTGAAGAAAACATCATTGCTGTGAGACAATTAATTCTCGAAGATCGTCATGTGACGTATTGAGAGATAGAGGCTCTATTAGGCATCTTAGGGACAACCATTCAGAAGATCTTGCATGAAGCGCTTGGTGTGAGAAAGCTAGTTTGCCGTTGGATACCACATCTGCTTTCCGACGATCACAAGGCGGCCCGCGTCAGATGGTGTAAGAAAACTCTGCAAAGGTTCAACCGAAGAGAGTCAAATCACGTCTACGACATCATCAGTGATGACGAATCTTGGATCTATGCCTACGATCCTGATTCCATACAACAATCTACAATCTGGGTCTTTCAAGACGAGCCAAAGCCGACTAAACTCGTTCGTTCTCGAAGCACTTCAAAGATGATGGTGGCCACGTTCATTGGAAAAACCGGCCATGTTGCGACTATTGCACTTGAAGATCGTAGAATGGTTAACGCAGAGTGGTATACCACAGTTTGTTTACCACAAGTCATCGCCAAACTTCGAAAATCTAACTTAAAGCGACGGATCATCCTGCACCACGACAACGCAAGCTCACACAGCACTCGTCAAACAATTCAGTAATTGAAGCAGGAAAAAGTAAAAATTCTTGACCATCCTCCATACAGTCCTGACCTAAGCCCTAACGATTTCTTTACATTTCCAAAAAATAAGAAAAGTCTTCGTGGTCAAAGGTTCCAGTCCGGTGAAGAAGCAGTCGACGCTTTCAAATCAGCCATTTTGAACACCTCCACCTTAGAGTGGAATTAATGTTATATATCTGGTTTGAGCGAATGGAAAAGTGTATTAAGCTACGTGGTGAATACTTTGAAAAACAATAAAAAGTACTATAAGGTTCTAGTTGTGTTTTTTTCTGCAAACGACAAAACTTAAAAGGCATGCCTCGTATGTGGATCAGAAGGTTTACGGTACGCAAAAGTTCATAGAAATTATTTGTTCATTTACATTTTACATCATCAAACAAAGACCAATCATTAGTCTATAGGCAGGTAATAACAGTAAGATAATGCTGCTTTATAGAAGTTGGGTAGGTTTGTGTTTGTATAAAATAAAGACATCGATAGGGTAGGGAACGATATTACTAGAGGAGGGTGCTCAGGATCAACTTTACTAAGTGGCGTCATTGCTTGAGAAACCTGACATGTCTCTTAATCAGCAGAACACATTCTAGAATGTTGTTACGTTGGTTGGAATTTTCTATAATTTAGAAAGTGCCTAAAATCTTTTAGGTTATGCCTTATAGCCGACGTGACGTTTTATATGCAATATTGTTGTTAAGTTTAACAACATATATCCTCATAATACTTTGTGCTTTCCAATTCGTTTTAAATTGAGACATTTTAAAACTGTAACTAACACCGACTCTCTGTCTTATTGCTGTGAAACGGGAAACCCATTGTGTCGCCGCCCGTCAGTCTCTACTCGACACTATATTATGTATACCTACCTATGATCGTCGAATACCACGTTATCATATAGGTATTTTATACAATAATTTAGCCATGATTGGGTTACAATAGTAAAACAATTTTTTTTATAGAAAGAATAAGTTTTGTAACGAAACCCCTTACCATTTTCATAATATATGTATTAAGATAATGTATTAAATACTATTTTAGAAATAGGAGAAAAAAAAATATGAGATAGGTAATAAAAAGTAGGTAGGAACTAACTTCCATTTGTTACTCCAATTTCTCTAACGATCTAAAGTCTTTAATAAGTATAATTTTGGAGGGTTCTTATTTTTCTCGGCCATTGCTAATGGCCACCCAGTAAATTGATATCACACTTTTTTGCCAAATTTACAAAGTCCAATTACAAACAAAGAAGTTGTTCATACCTGATACCACTATGATCCTTATAATATGTGAAAAGTTAAGCGCGGAACTGCTCTTCCCGTGCAGGTTCGTAACTAAATATATGTTAATTTAATCGAAATTATATACTTTCCATCGCACAAATTAATATTATTTTAAGTTCCTATTCCACACAATTGTAACACTACACAGTAGAACTAACAACAGTAGAAATAATGTGCAGAGTTTTCAAATAAATCTCTTTATGACAACCTCAATGTATTGAATATATATAACAATTTCTTTCTTTCTTTGGACAGAGGATTAAATGAAACCAATGTATAAATTGTAAAGTTTAATTTATTCTTTAAATTAATAACAATGAGGATGATTGAGTTTGAAGTAAATGAGACTAATGCTGCCTAAGGATACTACAGAAATATAGTGTTTTGTGCATGTTTTAATTAAAGAACAGGGTGAATGTTAGCTTTCCTAAAAAAACACAATAAATTTGCTTTATACATTACAGATTAAAATCAAACTTTGCAACATTAGCTATGTATGAACCTAACTACATATAATTCTAATGAGTCTTTTTTGGCTTTGCAAGTTTTTCATATTTGCTTTTTGATGAGTACCATAGACCAAATGGAATTGCTAGTGAAGGCAGTGTCATAACTGCAAAAGCTGCCCAATCAAGAATATGTGACGAGAATTTACGGTCATAATCTTTCAAGGCAACAATAGCCCCTTCACCAGGTGCACTGCTGATTGACAATTGTACCTTCAATAAAAAAAAGAATAAAATCATTATATATTGACAAAAAGACTGTATTTTATAAACTAGCAGATGTAAGCATGGGCACACATTTCTACCAATGTTTCAATTAAAACTTCTGTGCTAACCAAAACCAATCTTGATTTTACCCTGTTACACACACAGGGGGTATAACTGTTAATTTAACTAACTTTAATATGATTATTAAATATACTAAACAAAATTGTTAATTGATAAATTGCTATATTTTAGTTTTATGCAGGCATTCATAGCTAAATTTAACTAAAGATTTTCAATAATTTATCTTTCAAGCTCACCTCAGTAGATTCCTCATTAGGCCGGTATGATACTTCTGCTGCAGTAAAGTTGAAGTAACCAAATCTGTTTGACCGAACGGTAACTACGTGTGACACATTTGTTTGTGGTGGTATTCTATCAATTTCAGCAGAGAGTTGACCACCGACAACTGAGAACACTTCAGGATGAAAGCCATTGTCTATAAGTTTAACATCTACGGCTGGTGCTGTTCCGACATTATACAATGTATATTTGATAAGAATGTCCATATTTTCGACTAAGTATTTGTTCAGTACTTGTTTTGACACTAATAATTTTGCGGAAGCTGCTTCTTCATCTGCTGCCACTGCAGCAACGATTAACACGAGGAAGGAAAATATTTTAAGTGCCATTTTATCTGAAAAAATAAGAAATTGTTACACATCAATTGTACATATATATTTAAATCTATTCCACTTAACAGCAAGTAAAAAACGTTTTTTTTAAATGAAAAATTATACTATTAATTGACGTTATTACCAAAAATCTAATTTTATATAGGAGGTGACAAAATGAGACAGAAATCTTACCAAAAATATTATCCAAAGTCTAACGAAATAAATTATAAGCTCGAAGCCTCGAAAGAAAAACACCGCAAAGTTAAAAGTGATTGTTACGATTTTGACAATCTTTCATACGTGGCTGACGTTTCATACCACGCGTTCATCGTATTGGCAGTTAACTCGCGTTCAAGCTTTCTAATTTCAAAGTAAACTTGATCAAGTTATAAACGAAACTACAAAATTAAACGCAACTCTTAAATTTGGTTGTACTGATTTTCATATTTGACATAACTAAGACTATGTCAAAAAATTCGTAAAAGGGAGGACGGCGATTTTAATTACTATATTTTTGATGTTTTGATCTTGTTATTTATCAATTATCGCTATGGCTAAACAATCGATAGGATTGCTTTAAAAAGGTGATTGCTAATTGCTATCATATCGGGAGACGAGATAAGTTAATAGAATATTTCGAACTATGACAGATACACAAAATGATACAAAAACCCCGGATAAAGAAGTGTTAGATGACGAAACTCTAGAGAAGTATGTTAAATTAAACATATGTTATTTAGTATTATTAAATACGCTGGTATTCAAGATTTAAATAGACTTTAAATAATATATGCTTATTTATCCCTGAAATAATATGCGCTTTATTTTAGATTAGCAGTTGAGGAGCTTATACGAGAAGCAGTTCAGGGTGCAGCAAGAGCGGAAATTGTTGGCCCTTCAGGTTGGGTAAAAGCCCCACAGCAGAAGACTAACAAACGATTTCTTGTCAATACACTTCGGAATGCTGTGAGCTCTAATAAATATAATACAGCGCGCAATAAAAATCGGCATTCCTACCATAAATATCCTAAACAAGACCAAAAACTCGAAACTACTATAAAGAAGGACAAAATTAAAAGAAAATATTAAAATGGAAGAATTCAATATTGATTCCATATTATCCAATATAGTTGACCTTCATGAAACTAATTGGACACCCATCACAAAAATTCCCATTGTTTTAAAAGAGATTGAAAAAGTCAAAACTGAAATGAAAACTTTTTTGAACAATAATGACTTTGATATATCAGTTGTTCTAAAAGAGTCCAATGAATTATGTGTTGAAAGTCAGCAACTAATCAAGGAAATGAAGTCCTGCAAACAGGAAATTGAAGAGGTCACTATGGATGAAATACGCACATCTATTGAGAGTCATGATTTAATTACCAAAGAATTAGAATCTGTTAACTTTGCCTATAAAATAGTCAGTGACATTATCGACTGTGGGAAATATGTAAAAGAATTTGAGGAAAGAAAAAAAGACCAGAGTTATTCAAGAGCTGTTGATGTTGTGTATGATTTCCTAAGCTATGTTGATAATACTTCAGAGGGCTTTAATCACTTGGAAATATATAGTAATGCAAAAGTTACTGGGCAGCTCATATTAGAAGGACTAATGCATGAATTATTAATTAAATGGCATAAAATGGTAAAATATGAGACTGGCTTAGATGTAACTAACCGCACTGTTGCAACCATTAGTGTAAGTCAATCTCTATGTAGTATAGACCTACTGAATGCCCTGGATAGATGCAAAAAGTTAGAAGAAAAAGTCAAAGAATTAGCACAGTTCATTTTGAAGGAGATTCTTATACCTTTCATGCATCACCTTTGCGTAACTGACTCAAATTCTGATGAAAAGCTTTCCCTTGTGGGTGTGTTTATTGAACAGAAACCAAATTATAAACCTACTTATGAAGAAGTTATAAGAAATATTAGATTATTTTTCCATTACTTAAGAGAAAAATTAAATTTTGAATTTAAAAGATCAGTAACTATAATAAGTTTGATTGGTCAACAAATTTGTGAAGAATTTTGTGAAATGATTATTAAAAATGTTTTTATTCACACTGTTCCAAATAATATTACTGATCTACAATCATACAATTTGGTTACTTCTGATATACAAGATTTTCAAGTATATCTTCGCTCAGTCTACTTTTTGCCTGAGAATGGACCTTCATTATTAAGTTATATGGATAATATAGATTTTCTTTTTGCTGATAAGTCAAGCCAATATTTCTTGGAAACAGCAAGAGGAATTATGGTCAAAGACTTGAGTATTTCAATGTCAATTGGGGTTGAAAAAATACCTAATAACAATGGCCAAATGAAGATGACCAATAATGATGATGTTGCAGAGGCATTTTCCATTCTTGATAAGACAATTCCACAAAGTCTTTTTTACTTCCCTAGATGTATGATCTCAAAGACAACTCAAGAGTTGTTAGATTTAGTGTATGGGCTTATGGAGCAAGCAGTACAATGCACAGATGTTGTTTGTAGAAAATTATATAATACTTCTCGGTTAATTTTTGAATTGTATGATGCTGTTGTTCCATATCATCATGAAAACTTCCTGCTGACCATACCACAATATGTTGGTAAGTTTTACTAAGAACTTTACAATTAGAAAAGATTGATACAAGGAAGTAGTGATCTGAGTTATGTGCAATATGGCAGTTGCCATTATTATTGGTACATTTCATATCAATTCATAGATGAAAACTGACCCATGTTTATAAATTATGCATATAAGAAATGTTTCTTATATGCAGCTATGCAGCTGAGTGCATTTCCCTTTCTAAGGGAACCTAAACTTTAGACTATCTACTTTTATTTATGTTCATACTACTGTAAATTATATATATTTTACAGCATTATTCCATAACAACTGTTTGTACCTTGCACACAACTTGCAAACACTAGGTGATAAATGGGTTAACCTGATGGAAGGCCGTCAAGTCAACTATGCAATCAACTTCGTAGACCTAGTTCAGAAGATGAGAGAGCTTGGTTACAAGTACCTCACCATGCAAATGCAGCAGCAGAGAAAACAAATTTTGGATAATATACGCACGTCCGGTAAGTGTCACTTGCCTTGAAAAAAAAAACCACTAATAAGTTATTTGATTTCATAATTTTGTATAATAAATAATAGTCTCTATCACTGATATGATAATAATCCAGTGCACTAATGGATACAAAAATACAATTCCATACAAGTCTTGGCCTCAGGATTTATATGTGCCTTTGATAATATATATTTTATAGTCAAGTAGAAACCAAAGTACGTAAGGAGAACAGCATTCTGACATAGTATGTTTTTGATTCTGTAATCAAAATTCTAAGACAACAGTTTCCTCACTGTTTTCCTTTACCATACATACAAGAGTTATATTTGCGCCCAAAAACATCCATTGATGCATGTGTTGTAGTTGTGATTTGACCAGGGCCCCTGAGTTGAGATTCGCGTGCTTAAGCCTCTCTACCGACACTGCTCTTTAATTAATTTAATAATATATAATTTGCATTTGCAATACACTATTTAATATACATTATTTACTAAACAATTTTAATATTTTGCAGATTTAAATTGCATGGTTGGAAAAGATGCACTCGGTGAAAACGCAGAAGCAGCAGTAAGACAGTGTCTCCGTCAATTACAGTTACTCAAGAATGTTTGGATCGGAGTCTTTCCAGCTAATGTATTCACCAGGTATTTTATATATTTGGCGTAATCCCAATTCAACAAATAAAAAGTTAAAATTTAACTAAGAATAATAAAAGCTGATTAATCTTTTGTCTTGAAATATATAATAGTAGTTGATGCAACTGTTGTATGAGGATTAGTTAACCACGACATAATTTTTAATAGCATTTTACTACACGCAGAAGTAAACTAGGCACCTCGCTGTAATGACGTCATAGTGATGTACTATCTGCATAAAAAATTCAAGTAATCTTTAAGGCCCCTCGACACTCGCAATAGTACATGATAGATAATTTTGACTTAACTCAATACTAGTAGGTAAAGTAATTTAAAAAAATATATTAAAAAAGAGATTTGATGGTTTTTTATTAATTACAGATTAATGGCAACACTTGTCAACATGTTTATGGATGAGTTAATACACAGAGTGTGCACTGTTGAGGACATTCCCGTGGAGATGGCAACACAGCTCACAGACATGTACAACTTGGTTGTGCTGAAAGTACCACATTTATTCCATGTATGGAATATTTTTAATAAACATTATATTAAGATATATCTAGGGTTAGATTAGTACACAAATATCAATACTAATTAAAGAAGTGTTATAATATTTTAAGAAGCTATAAGTGTAAAATATGTGTGTATTTTTGACATAACAGCTAGCTACATAATGTATAAATAATATACCTAGTCAACAATAAAAATCTTCATCATTTTAAACATAATAGATTTATGACTTTTTGGATTGTATATGTATATAGATTTGAAGTACAATTTCGGTAAATTGTAGTTGTTTCATAGTGTTAGTTTCCCTATAATTTTATATAATAGGAGTCAACAATTTCAAAATCAAAACTTAGGTTTTTGAAATACAACTCCCAGCAATCGCTTCTACTGCTTTTAAGTGCTTGTTATTTACCGATATTTGTGTTTATAGAAAACCGCAGACGTTGAAAAGCACGTGAAGCCCTGGCCAAAGTTCAAGGAGGTTATCTTTGTACTTGGAGCATCTCTTAGAGACCTTGATAGTCACTGGAATGACGGAAGTGGACCACTAGCAATATACTTCAGTACAGAAGAGTTAAGGAGTCTCATCAAAGCCTTATTCCAGAACACACAGTACCGCGCAAATTTCCTTCTCAAAATCAAATAGATTGTAGTCCGTATCTAAATTAAATGGTGTATGATTACATTGCTTTTTTAATAGTCTGCCTATGTTACCGCCTCTGACCCATGGCACCTACCCCACATTGCATACCTACAGTCTGGAGGTCCTGGGTATATAAAAATATAATTTCATAGATGCATAATATGATTACCGATTACGTTTTTGTTTTATACAAGTACCTAGTACATATTTGAATAAACTTTAATGGGATATAAACTCAAATTTGTTGTTTGTTCAGATTTCAGTTAAACATTGACCGCAATGTCATTGCGGTTGTACCCAATTTTAACAGCTGAAGGTGCGCGTTTCACCGACAGCTCACGAGTCTCATCTTATTTATGTATGAATAGGTGTAAGTTGTTAAAATATTATATGATATACAATAAATGAAATTTGAATATAGCTGACTTATTCCGTACTCGCATCCTCTCAAAGTGGCGAAAACTCTTAGAAGCCCTTCATTATGGTGGTGAGCGGATATGCGAAATCTGTTGGAAGTGGGTGCCGCGAGAGATCACAATCAATAAAAAACAAGTAACGAATTTATAATTCTGAGCGGTGTTTGAAGCTGTTCAATAGTAATAAATCCGAATTTTTGGGAAAGATTTGCCTCCCAGCGACTTTACCAAAAGGTCTCAGAACAGGAAAAAGTGTGAAAAATGGAAAAGTTCTCTAAGGGTTTCTACACATGTACCACACCACGGCGCGCCGTAATTGCGGCGCAACGACAAAATGCTGTCAAGCAGTGGATACGTGTGAATAGTGTCGCTGCAGATTTTTGTAGTTGCGTTGTGGTACAGACAAAATGTCGACTTGGTTGCGTTGTCGCCAGTAGTTGCGATGCGGTATGTCGTGCGGAGTCACAGTTTGACTCCGACTTTCATAGCTAAAATAATGTCGTTGCGTCGACACAAAGTTGAGTGTAGTCGGCCACTAGTTCGCAGTATCGCTGGTGGTTGCGTTGTGGTTAGAGTCTGGCTAACGAAAGTAGATACTGGATTTTTTTGCAAACTTTTTATATGGCAACACCAAAGTTAGTACGGTCAAAATGTCTTGATATTTTTTTATTTTAAATAAGTAAGTACATATTAGTTTTACTTACTTTAGATAATGTTATTGTTCTTTTACATATAGTCTTGAGATTATTAGCCAACGGTTATGAATTTAAGACAAACAAAAATGAACGTTCATTATTAATTGAACGATATGATATAGCTGCATGGAGACATCGCTTTTTGCGTACCATTGCATCTAAACGTGCAGAAGGCAAGCCAATAATCTACTTAGATGAAACTTATGTCCATAAAACCTATAAGCCTAAAAATTGCAAGCATCCACTAGTAAAATAAAAATGAATGTCAAAGTATCAAAGTGAGTTGTTCCAACTTTCCTTTTTACTTTAGGGCTGCCATGCTGATATTTTTTAAATTTGCCGCGCTTTTTCATTATCAACTTTCATTAGCCAGACTCTACAATGTGGTCGATATCACACACACAGTCGATAACGACTGCAAAATGTGGTACGTGTGAATAGTCCTATTCATTTTCAATACAAAATATACGCCCGGCGACGTGGTGTGATTGTAGCCGTGGTGTGGTTGTGGTACGTATGTAGAAACCCTAAAGATAAAGCTCAAAGTGGATGCGCAATTCGAATTTTGCTTTTATACTAGGTAACGAAAGATACGCTGATTTTTTTCTCTAACGGGGTGGGTGGGACTATTATACTAATTTAATTACTGTAAAAACTATAATTAAAAAATAAAAGACGAAAGTTGCAGATATCGTCTCTATAGTCATGTCTGTCAAGTGTCAACACTCCAGATTGAAAGTTGACATATTCTGGCTAGAACTGTCAATTTCGGCAATGCACGAAATACAAATGGTATTTTGAAATTGAAAACAAATGAAGTTTATTTTTTTTAATGAATTAGTGGTAATATTATTTAAACACAAACCGCTAACATGAATACACTTAAAGTTCTTTTGCGATCTCGAAGTAATAATAACCTTATATTTCGTACGGCGACTACAAAAAAGAAAATTCATGATCCTAAAGAAGAGGAACTACTACCAAGTAATTCTCTTTTGTGTTGTTTTTATAAGGTCTTCTCTTTAATTAGATTGTGAGTTAAATATACACCTTCTTCGTGTCTTATTTTGGACATAGATGTTAATGCTACAACACGCCTATCTAAGGCCGACCCTGTGTATTAATTATAAAAGGTTTTGGGCAAGACTAAAATTAATGATTCCTTTTTTAGTTTTTCAGTACCCAGTAAGTAAAAGTTCGGATAGACGTGTGTATGTGTGGGGACTAGCAGAGACTGGACTGGAGCTCTTATTAAAGGGCTTACACACCCACAAAAAAAAGAGTTTAAATTTTTTTTTTTTTTTTTTTTTTTTTTTTTTTCCCCCCCTTTTTATTTTTTTTTTTTTTGTTTTTTTTTTTTTGTTTGTAAAAAACTACCTTTTTTTTTTTTTTTTTTTTTTTCCTTAACAAAAAAACCAATGGGTTTTTTGTCTTTTTGTTCTCCCCCCCCCCAACCTCCCCGTGGATGTTAGGTTTTTGTTTGTTTTATTTTTTTTTTTTTTTTTTTTAAAAAAAAATTTTTTTTTTTTTTTTGGTTGCCGGGAGGGGGGGGGGCCCCGGTTTTTTCCGGCGCTTCAAAAAAACAGGGAAACCCATTCCCCCGTTCCCCTCCCCCCCCCCCCCCCCCCCCCCCCCCCCCCCCCCCCCCGGGGGGGGGTGAGAGACAGATCAGATTAGTAAAAAAAATTGACACATAGCCCAAGTCGCGCCTAAAAGTGTATAAAAGATCAAGAGCTAAAAAATCTTACATAAATGACATTTCCACAAGCGAATTAACAAAAAGCTTGGCATAAAGTTAAATGCGTGCCGCCCCGCGGTCCCCCCCCTTCCCTCAACCCCCCGAAACCCCCCAACCGCCGGCCTAAAAATTTCCCCAAAAAAAAAATTTCTTGTGAAAGGGAACCTATGAGATCAAGTTTTTGTGAATCTTAAAATAAGATTTTTTTTTTTTTATCGATCAACTTCAAAACTATCCCCTTTGACTTGAAAAACCACGTCGATCGCCACCAAGCTGGTCAAAAGCGGTTTGATGTAAGTAGGTACATAACATGTACTAGATTATATTTATTATACTTTAACTAAATACAAATAGGCTATGTGTCTATGGGTATTTCGAGCTCCAAATATCACTTTTAAGCCCCAGGAATGAAATGACCTGGAGGATGTAGGTTAATGCCCTTTGGTGAAACAAAATTGATTTTTTTAAATTGGAAGACTAAAGATTATTATATTAATTGAGTTTTTTTTTTCCAACCCCCACAGCAAAGACATCATTATTAAAAAGGCCTCAATATCTACTCAGAGTCCATACATTTTTTTACATATTTAATAATCTATAGCCTCCCCCACCATAAATATATATCATATAACATTTTTTCTTCTTATTATCTAACTTTCTGTCCCTCATAATCCCATTTGCATCGTGGGTCCCTACATGAGGCATGATTCTGTTCTTAGGTCTTGCCATGAAACTTCTCATAACAATTTTTTTTGAGCCTTTAACAGACAGGTTTTTTTTTTCAGGTTACACAAATTGCATGTGGCTATGGATTTACAGTTGCAGCCATTAAAACAAATGAACAACACAAGGTTTTTGGCACTGGTATAAATACAGATTCCCAGATAGGCTATCATGCTCCTCGAATTGGTCATCCTTTAGAAATGCTTCTTAGTCCTGCACCTATTTATGTACCATATAAATCACTGGAAAATAAGGTATTCCAACATGTACAATCAATAATACATACATACATAGAGTATGAACTTTGTAATGGACTCCCTGATGGTTTTGGTAGCATCCAGATTTTATATCTTTGGAAACATGCTCGATTAGTTTACTGATACTTCTGAACTAAATTATTGATGTTTTAGTAAGTTTATATTAAGTATCCAATCAAATAAAATTTGTGTGTGTTTAATGGAAGTAACTAGTTACATATAAGATTGTACCTAGGTACATATTAGAGCTTTTTGAAGTAAGTAATACCTTGTATTTTTATGAGAAATAAAATTCTTAAAACCTTATTGTACCTTCAATAATTTTATAAATACTTTAAATTATTAATACAATTTTTTTTAAATTAATATTTGCATATATGGTTTCTTGGAAATTATGTAATTTAAATATTACTTAAAAATTTCCAGGTTATTGGGGTAGCTGCTGGACGGGCACATACTCTTATACTGACAGACAATGAAGGTGTTTACTCACTTGGTAATAATGCATATGGCCAGTGTGGTAGAAAAATAAATAATGCAGAGGAATACCGGGGGAGTATGCATTCCCACCATATAAGCAAACTCGGGAAAGAACAAGTTATTGATATATGTGCAGGACAAGACCATAGGTGTTTCAATTTAATTTTTCAAAAACAAGTATATATTTTGTAACATGCATTTAACATAACACAACTTAAAGAAAAAGCAAAAACATCAGTCTTCAATAAATTACTTTTTTATATTATCTCTTAATCTCAAATATCTTTCTGTTGTGTAATTAAATGATAAAAATTTATGGTTTAACTAAACCAGTTATATATAAAAAATAAATCCTTTATTTGCAAAGAAAGAAGTACACAAGATGAATGTATTGTAAAAAATTGCTTTAGCCAAGTCAAACTAGCATGCAAATGTCAATATATACCTAACTCAAAACAATTAAATTATTTATAATATATTCTATCATATATGTTGAAACTTATAATCTAAGAACTCTCTTGCATTGTAAGAGATTTATTAAGATTTAGTATATCTAACAAAAAAAAATATATATATTTTTATGCAATGATAATGGTCTTTGTTGCAGTCTTTTTGTGACAGAATCAGGCAAAGTATACTCCTGTGGGTGGGGTGCAGATGGGCAGACCGGTCTGGGTAATTTCGACAATCAAGGTCCACCAGCTGCTGTAAAAGGTGACATAACAAGTGAGAAAATTATCAAAGTTGCATCTACAGTTGACTGTGTACTTGCTTTAAATGGTATGTTTGATTATACATACTTATATACTTTGACTACATAATAAATAAATGTATATAAAGTTTTAAGTTTATACTTTAATTTTATGTTTGAGATTGTGCAATTTTCTTTCAGATAAAGGTGAAATCTTTGGCTGGGGGAACTCCGAATATGGACAAATTCCAATGTCATCAAAACAACAGCAAGTAAACATGTCATATGCTTTGGTCAATTTCACAAAAGGCCTGGGAAAAATTGTTGATATTGCAGCTGGAGGTTCCTTCTGTCTTATTTGTAATGGTGAGGTTATTTTAACTTACAACTATGTAGTTTCAATAGCACTTTACAATATACTTTTACTGTAACAAAATGAGAGTTCTTTAAATCTCTCATTGAGCACTATCATATTGAAGGTATTTTATAAGTGTATTATTTTCAATACTCTCAAGCATTATTAATTTTTTTTTAGATCAAGGCGACGTTTTTGTATGGGGTTTTGGTTTACTAGGACTTGGCCCAAATGTCCACCACACAGCCAATCCCAAACAAATACCACCTACCTTATTTGGGAGAAATGAGTTTAATTCTGAATGTATGGTACAAAAGGTATCATGTGGCATTGGTCATTTAGCAGCAATAACAAATAATGGGGATTTGTATACATGGGGTCGAAATAGACATGGTTGTCTCGGTTTAGGTCATGATAAGGACCAGCATTTTCCATTAAAAGTCAGTATAGGGGCTCATGTTTTGAATGTAAGCTGTAGTGTAGATCATACTGTTGCCATTTGCAAGCCTTTTATGTAGTTTAAAAAATTATTATACAAAATAAAATACATTTATTCATAAATAAATTTTTAATTCTATACACAAAAGTTATTTTGCTAATCTTAAATTTAATAAAACTTGGCATGATATAAATCTCTGTTTATATCATGCCAAGTTTATTAGTTATTATGTGGTAATCTAACTAATAAAGCTATCTATTTATAATAACATCTGAGGGCGCCTAATTTTTAATTAAAAAGCATACAGCTTGTGTGTACATTGAAGATATACCAAGTTGAAATTTTTATTAGTTTATATTACAATTTTATCAATGAATTTCTAAGAAGCTGGAAAATAAAATTGAAGTTTTTTAGACATGTTATAAGCAAATCACAATAATATGTATCTTTAAACTTTATTACAGAATGTTTTAATATTGTATAGGAAATAAATATAGAGATTTGTCTTAAATTAAAAATATGTGCAGTGAAACAGGTGTTTTATAAACTGAAATTATAATCTTACAATATTATACTATTTCAGTTTCTGTATTGAATGAGAAAGTAAACATAACACGGGTATGCATTCCACTTTCTCATTCAATACCACATAGACTATTGTTTGCATTCATCATGGAATGGTTCAAGTGAGCGAAAATCACGCCATGCAGGGGGAAGCATTGATGTGTGGTGAAGATGGCACCCGCATCTCTTACATGGATCACTAAACAAGTTTACATAACTATGCAGCCAAGTCATAAAAGAGCGAACTGCTAACTCTGGTATCATTGGAGAGTAAAAATGTAACATAGCTGCATGGGCATTTTCAGTTACTTTACGAAAAACATTATGCCTTGATTCTGTCCATAAATCTAAGGTTTCTCCATAGCCCTTTACCATCACCCACTCCATCAGGAGTCCTTTAAAAGCTACTACTGCTTTAAGGACATGGCTTAAATTAATTTGCACAACAGCATTGCTGGCAAATGGACGTGATATAGTTATTTTCATGTCGTTGTACGATCTACCAATATTATTTATTACATTGTCCACTTGTAAGGGAGCAACATTGTGATTACTTTGCATTTTCCCTCTTCTTTTTGTGGCCGAGTTGATATTTGATCTTTTAAGAGAGTTTTGATTTAATAATGTGTATGCGAAAGAACTGTACTCATGTATTTTGTCTGTCCATTTGTAACTATTGACCAATTGAGTATACAATGCTTGCCGATCTTGCGTCGTGTCTTGACTTAAAAATGTCGTGTTGCCTAAATTAAAAGGTGCGGTAGGTATTGGCAAGCTGTTTACAGTTTGTTCTAAATCTCGGACATTTATATTAACATTATTGAGAAGTTCTTGGAGCTCGGATAGAAATTTGTCTTTACCATCTTCACCGTGATCAGCTCGAAGACCGTTTGAAAGCGTTTCAAAGACATGGCTTACACTAGATCGTAGCGTTCTAAGCGATGTTAATGCAGAGTTGAGTTGATCCACATTTATTGTCTGATTCATATTGATAACTTTTCATGAATCAGTTTATTTGTAAAAAACAAAATAGTAAAGCGGAATCAATGGACGAAAACAACATGGGGTTTTGAGTTTTGACTTTTACAGACTAGGAACACTATTTCAATGTTGACTGATTTGATCATTCGCGAGATTTGACATTGACAAATGAATACTTCATCTTTCTTGTTCCCAAGTGTCACTGTCACGGCTAAAATCCATGCTCGGTTTTGTATTCATACTAATAACAATAATATTATACTCCTGGTCACAGACTATTTTTAAATTTTTAAATTTTAGACGGACGGACTTTATACGGATTTTACAAAACTTTTTAGTGAATTTCAAGATACACTGTTAAAATAAAACATCAACACAAAAATGTGGCTGTGGGGTCTAGGCACTGGCTTAATGCTTATCCTTCGTCAAACACTGGCACCCTTTTGGATCCTGAATCACTTCGTATTGCCATCAGCCTCCTCTTAGGAGTGCCCATATCTATCATCCTCATAAGTGTCCCTGTTGCTTTGAAGTAAGTAGCCTGGGACACCATGGCCTCCATTGCCATTAGAGTGCAGGTCGTTTTTCTTTCCACGCCGCGCATAACGTCACTATACGCCGCTCTCTTGCCTCAGTCAATGTTCTAGCCATTTTGGAGCCAACAGGCACCGCAAGAGGCGAGAGGCAAGCGACCGGATCGGTCGTTGATCGCTTGGAAAATGGGACGGGCTTTGGTATGGGATGCTACTTGTGTGCACACGTTTAACCCGTCTCACCTCCCTCGGCAAGCAAAACAGCTGGGGCAGCCGCAGAGCAGGCGGAAAAAAAAAACTCCAACTTCGATATTGTTCCCTTTGGAGTACAGACTCTTGCGCCGTGGGGTTCAAGTGCAGTGGCGCTAATTAAAGTTTTATGTTGGCGCCTAGTAGATAGTACCTACCGGTCACCCCAGAGCTGTTGCTTTCCTCGCTCAACGAATAAGTATCGCAATACAGCGAGGAAATGCTGCCAGCCAAACTTTTAAAATTTTTAAAATTTAAATTTTATACAATTTTAATTATTTTTAAGTTTAAGTTAAGAAAATTGTTAATACTGTATATTTGGTTGTTATTATCTATATATATAAAAGGAAAATGGTCTTCGTTTGAGGCTCCTTCACGCCTAAACCACTGATCGTATCGACATGAAACTACCACCATTATACCAATTTTTCCTAGATGGTTTATGGCTATTTATTTATTAAATTCCAACGTTCCTTCATTTTTTTATTGCTGTTTTACTTTTATGAAAATTTATCCATACGGACTTCACCGCGGAAACATTCGGGGAGGCTTCCTAGAACCTCTAAACCTCAACATCTGTTAAAAACTCGATTTTCGAAATATTTCAATTTTCTTAGCGGGAAGTTAAAAAGAAGAATAATAAAAATATGAAAAAAAAATAAAATAATGAAACATAAAATTTATTTTAATTCGTCCAGCAAAGCGGGCGCGAAACGGCTAGTTACTAATAAACATAAGAAGAATAAAACAAGATCTAAATTCAAAACCATAGAACCCGCGTAAAAAGTGAAATTAGACACCTGGATATTTGGCTCGAATAAGGTATAAATTATTTCGTAGTGCTCGTAAACTCATTTATCAAAATCTAATTATTTATGCTTTAAGTCTTTTTAATACCATCAAATTAAGTGTTTCGTTCGTATACATTTGTTAAATTTAGTGAAGCGACAACTGTATTAGGTCACATTGCAATGACAAGGTTTTGATGGAAACTTTGTTTTTGTTTGTATAAAATTTAATTGCCAACATTTGCAATAGTAAAATTTTATAATAAACTTATCAACAATGTTTTAAAGTGATATGTACATGAAGTTAGTCTTCTGTACGATATTTTAGAATAACGCATTTTAACCAACATTTTTCCTATTAATGATGGACATAAATTCCATTAGAAAATATTTTTCTCGGATTAAAACGTGTTTAAATAGCATTTTAGGCAGCAGTACCGTTTTACTTTTACATTAATGCTATTGTCGTAAATAAAACACAATATTTACTGATTATTAGACCAGATATAATAATCAATCTGTAATTTAAAAAAAAATGCTTTAACACCGCGCAAAAACGTGTTCACTCATCACATCGTATGCTTTCACTACGCTAGAAGTAATATCGGATATGACGCCGTTATTAACTAGCCATGTGCTTCCACTTGTACCGTTCTTGTAACTCTCTGCGACTCCTTTGGCGGCAATTTCTGTTCTGTGATGGAGAATGTATATTAAATATATCTACTATCTTTCCCAGATTCGCTTGCTTGGACTACTTCTATTATGGCAATATTTTTTGCAACCTCTTCAACATAAACTATATTTCAGTAAATTTGCATAAAATCATAATGAAAAGCACACTATTTAATAATAAACCCGTAAAAAAATTCTTTCGGCAGTTGTTGAGTTTATCCAGATCATACAGATGGTATTTTTGGTCACGATTTATCGAAAAAAATTGAGTGGGAATTCCTAAATTTGTGCAACATAATATCTTTATTTGTAATAATATATGTTTAGAGGGGCTAGTTTTAGGATGTAGTTAGATACAACATTTATAATTTGTTTTTTTAAGTAAAACTTGTGCAGGTGTCGGTATTATTTATTACTTATATCATATTAGTTATAACAGTTAAACTAAAACATGTGGAAATAATTAAATATTACATATCTACACATTATTTTGTAGATATTTTTACCTGTCACTAGATAGAGACCTAGAAATAATTGATGCACTCAGCTTAGTCAATTTGCTAAAAACCGTACAATAAATCTGTTTAATAGTTTTGGAGATTATTACAGAGACACTACAAAACAAAGAAACATGAAAGAACTACATCTAAATATGTGTTTCTGTTACATCAGATGTTGGAGTATTAACTAACTTGAGTAAATATTAACATGGCACTTAATTGATATTCGGATTTGTAATCAATCATTTAGTCACCTACGTTTGTCCCGGACTTCGAACTAAAACATCTCGTAAGATCTTTTCCGCATCCGTATTGATTTGTTCGTCAAAACTTTTAGTATTCTGAATAATACTGGTCTGAGTGAGTCCGAAACATATTGTTATAACTCTTACATTTGTGCGGGAATAATATTCATCCATCTGAAACACAACAATAGGGTTAAGTAGTCTTGTAACCTAATCATGGACATATTTAAAAAATGTTTATAAAATTTAAGGTAGTAGATAGAAACGATTTAAAAAATTTAGATTCAAGAACCGATATTAAAGATCATCTCGATATGAATCTTGGTTTCCGAGAAGTTTGTAGACAAGCATACATACATACACTTTAAATCGTAATTTAAATCGATACTGAAATATCTTCATTCAAACATTCAACATCTAATAATGACACTGGTTGAATAAAAATAACGTTATTGGAGTTTTTGAAGTTATACTTCTTTAGGCGCGTTATGAAAAATTGATGAGAGTGAAATTTTACGATGCGCGCGCACCGTGATACAAAATTAACAGAATGAAGTTGCCCACGGAAGACGGCATTGGACATAATTTAAAAACAACATTCGAATAATAATATAATTTATGTTACACTTAATGTAAGAGAATAATAATAAATATTTATTTATTTAATTTTTCAAATGTAAACTGAACTTTATTGACTATAATGACTCCTGTTCCAGTTTTTAATTATTTAATTGTAATTAATTATTTGCATGCAATCAAAAACTATTTTTAATAATGCCAAAGAAGTATAACTTCTTACGCGCGTACATAAGTACACGCACCCTTTTTTTAATTTGGGGTTAATAAAGCTGTGGGTAATAAAATATGTAGTTGATGATGATGAAACAAAAAACCAAAAAAAAAAAAAATATTTTTTAACGTTTTCTGAGTAGCCAAAAGATTCGGCTTATTCACTCTCTACAGAAAAAAAATCAAGTGAATAAATAATTCCCAAGCATCATTTAAATAAACTTCAATTTTATAATAAGATTTAATTACCTATTTGTTCGATATTTTATTCGAGAGCTTTTCGACTAAAAGTGCTAGCCATTTTGATACTATGTTTTTGGATATAATTCTGCTATTTACCTATCGAGACGAAATTGTGTTAGGAACGCGGTATTTATCTTACCCCAATAGTACTTCCGAAGTGTACTAGAGCATTCTTGATGGCACCGTACACAAAAGGCCCCGGGGACACCCTCATCAGCCCCAATATTGATGATACGTTGATGATCGTGCCCCCTTTTCCTTCTTTGTCCTTACGCATCACCTCCATCGCCCTTAACGTCGACGTGATTACAGTCGTCTGTACGTCAAAATTATTAATAGTCCCAATATGTCAATTATAATGGTCTTATCTCAACCTGATGAGCCTTCATAAATTAAATAATATATACTACAAGATAAACAATCCGCGAAAATAGAGGACACCGTAAGTCATTTCTGTCAAAACCCTCCATCTTTTAGTCGATACCAACTCCGGGAAAATAAATACGTAGTTGGTCTCAAAGTTCTGTCACTGGCACATTATTTTTAAATTACGAACATGATTTTATAAAAAAATTATTGCATTCTATTTTTGATTGTTTGACTATTGTTTTAAAACAAAAAACAATCACTTTCCGTAAATTTTCAAGATGGAGTGGACATTGAAAGAAAACCGAATAGCTGTTATTGCGTTGCACCGCTGTGGGCACTCGGCGAGTACCATTTTCAAGTTGCTCAAAAATTTAAATATAACGCTTAGGTTTGTGTACCGTACTATTGATAGGTACAATGAAGTCTCCAGTGTTGAGGACAAGAAAAGAACTGGCCGGCCACGCCCGCAAGGACACCAGTAGTGATCAAAGCTATCAAGGCGCGGATAGCAAGAAATCCTGTCCGAAAACAGAAGTTGATGGCTTTGCAGATGGGTGTCAGTAGGAAAACAGTAAAAAGGTTTTAAATGAAGATCTTGGTCTACGGGCATACAAAAGAAAGAGTGGGCACCTACTTAATGCTCGTCTAAAAACAATAAGGCTTAAGAGATCGCGGGGTTTGTTAAAGCGGTACGCGCAAAAACCGACACCGTGATATCCTCTTTACGGACGAAAAATTTTTCGATATTGAAGAGAAGTACAATAAACAGAATGATAGAGTGTACGCTAGGAGTTCTGAAGAAGCTGGAAATAAAGTTCCGAGGGTGCAACATGGACATCATCCATCATCAGTCTGGTTGGGAGTGTCCTATTACGGGCCAACTGAGGTTCATTTTTGGCGAAAAGAAAAGGGGGTCAAAACCAGTGCAAAAGTGTATCAAGACACGGTTTTGGACCAGCTTGTCAAAGACCTGCCCAGCACGCTATTTTCGGGACATCACTTTGTGTTCCAACAGGACTCTGCGCCTGCACACAAAAGTCAAGACCACTCAAACCTGGTTTGAGCGTCAAAACATCGACTTAATTAGACATGAGGATTGGCCTTCCTCCAGTCCAGACCTTAATCCTTTGGACTATAAAATTTGGCAGGTCTTAGAGAGGAAGGTCTGTGATAAACCCTATAAAATTTGGATTTGGGGAGTGTCTGGAAGTCATCTTTAAAAAAAGCAGTCACTGAAATCGACATGAATATGGTGCGTGCTGCGATAGACGACTGCCGCGCGGCGCTTAAGGGCCTGTATTAAAAATAAGGGAGGTCATTTCGAATAATTTTATGCTATTTCTATTTCTTAATTTATGTACTATTAATTGATATATCACTCATTAAAAACTGATCAGTACTTTAGTTTTTATCATTAGTTCTATTTATGACAGAACTTTGGGACCGACTACGTACAGATAATACATCTTTTTCTACAGCTGTGATACTTTTCGACATTCAACACCTGTTGTCTTCAGTCACCGTGACGGGTGACCACGCACGCTGTAAAGCACGCGAAACGTCGGAAAAAATTAAAATTATGTAAAATAATTGTAAATTTATAATAATACATAACTTTAATCCGGTACAAAGTGTTTTCTTTAAATGTGTAAAAGTTATGTCAATAAAAGACAATACAATATATACTAGATTTGATTTTTTCATTATCAAAAACAAAATACTCACAAGCTATTATTTTATAATGTATGAATATGGGGTTTACATATACAGTTTTCTTATATCCATAAAGGAGTAAATTCCAATGTTTCTACATTCTACACGAAATTTACTTAATTGAAAATTTTACTTGCTTTTAAAGGTTAGAAATTATTCAGGATGAAAATATTCTTTAAAATAATACAACTGACTTGTAACTCTCAAGTATTTCTATTAAGTAAAGGAATTTTTAGAAACGGGTCTGTAAAATAACATAAATTTATTTCATAGAATATTAAGATAAAAGATTGATAATTTATCAGTACCTAACATGTCTGGGCCTCAGATTTCGGTTTCAGTTTCAATTGTTTTTTTCTGATAGACAAGTAGGTGATCAACCTGTGCCTGACACGCCATGCCGGTTTCCTCACGATGTTTTCATTCACCTTACAAGCGAGTATTAAATGCCCACATATAAAGTTCATTGATGGACAGCCGTGGATCAAAACTACGGGCTCAGTGATGATAGTTGCAATCTGAAGCCATTCAACTGCAGCTAACACTGCTCATTATCAATTTTACATTGAGTTTAGTCTAAGCTAATTTAAGTTTTATCTTAAACCGTTGAATCACCTCATTAAATTGATGTATGCAGAAAACCCATAACCTAAGGAATCGTCTGCTGAATGCCAGGATACAGGGAATTTATTTTGTATTATTTTATTTTATCTATTTTTAATAGACCGACAACGCACTTGCAAGCCCTTTGACAATGTGAGTATCTATGGGTGGCTCACTTAACATCAGGCGCGCCTCCTGCCCTTTTGCCCTCTGTTTAATAAAAAAAGGGAAATTACTTACAAAATTTAAAGCAATTTGTTTCTTATACATAGGAAATGACTCATCAGCAATCCCAGCGTTGTTTACTACGAGATCTAAACTACCCCAACGCGCGGTAACTTCATCGAAAGCGTTCATGAGTTGGTTCTCATCGGTGACGTCACAGAGCAAAAACTGGACTCGCTCTCCATATTTGACTGACAAATCATCTTTGATTTGTTTACCGGATTGCTCGTTGATGTCTAGAATCGTTACCTGAAAATAAAACTATTATTTTCAACGAATATAGTATTGAATCGAGTTTCTGAGCATGATTAGTTGATATTTTTTGATTAGAGGTATACTATCTACGAGTTAATTATACATAATATAGCTTTTTGAAGTTACTTCTTTAGGCGCGTTATGAAAAATTGATGAGAGTGATATTTTAAGATGCGCGCGCACCGTGACACAAAATTATCAGTATGAAGTTGCCCACTAACGAATTATTTTTAAACCAGCCCGGCGCCGAGCGTACGCGGGCGAGATGGGAATAAGACAATCTACAAGTAAAAAGAAATAGAATATGCGTGAAGTTAGCAGCTATGCCAAGAATTTTGAATGACCATAATGACCTTGGTACCTTGTACCTTTTAAACAAATAAAGAAGTTTTAATTATTTTTTCAAAGAAATTGAGCAATGCTTTTTACAAAGACCTATTGTTACTTAGTTAAAAGGTTATAAAACATACCTAGTTATTAAATTGAATGAATAATATAATAAAAAAAAATAATAATAATTATTATTATTTAATAATGCCAAAGAAGTATTACTTCTTACGCGCGTACATAAGTACACGCACCCTTTTTTTATCCATTCACAGACCCCGAACACACGAACTGATTTGAGAATCGCATCTAACCACAAATGCACAGCTCGGTATTTTACTTAATAAGTAAACTTTTTCAGCAATAAATGCAATTTTGTTTCCATGGTCAACTTGTTTCTTTTCTCTTATTTATAATATAACCAATGTACAGACGTTGGGGTACTAAATACATTTATTTAAATAAATAATAATGATCTAGTGGTGCTATAACCCGGGTCTTGGCTACAGATTGCCATTGATTTTTGAACACTTTTAAAGGCCTTCTGTGCCTGACACAAGTCAAAGATTTGTTTTCTCTTACTTTAGTTCCTTCCTTTAAAAATTCCTTAACAACACTTGCACCAATACCACAAGCTCCTCCAGTCACTATAGCCACTTTGTTATATAAACTGTGCATTTTGATTTGACCCGAATAAAATGTATGACTCAATTAAATAGTATTAAGAGCAAACTCTAATATATAGTGTTGTAAGGCAGCAAAAAATACCCTTGATCGAAACATGAGAAGTCTGTTCCTCTATTATAATGTTTGTAAGTAATTTTAATTAATATAAAGCTTTTGTTCAAAGTAGCCGTAATATTTGGTTATATTGCACCCTGGTCTCAGAAATTGAGTGATCAGTCACCGTAACTTAATATTAACCTATGACATAGATACAATAGTACACTTTTGATCGACGGACACCGAAGGATACAATGTAATATAATTTTTTTTTTTTTTTCAAATATTTTTTTCCTAATATTTTTATAATCGCATTCAAGCTGTAGGATATTTTAATAATTTAGTTATTTATCAAACCTATAAACATTCCAAATTAGGGAGATAAATCTAAAAATTGTTCCAAAACTCTATCGCATATCATAATTATTTATGCATAATATAATTAAATTCACTTAACGTGTTATACTTTTTGGAAATATTAGATACATAGGTAAATAAGATAAAATATAAACCATAAATTTCTTTAAACATAAAAAAAATTAAACAAATTTTTCGTGTTTATTTTAGGAAAAAAAAAACACATTATTGATGTATTCTTCGGTACGATAGACTTGTAAGATGGGTCTACTTCAATGTTCTGTATACCTATAAAAAGTATGTAAGGAATAACTGATACGCCTATAGTAAACAAATACGGGACGTGTCAAAGCCCACGCAAAATGTCGGCGTTTGAGCGGTTCAAATTTATTCATTTTCAATTTAATTTAGAAATATAATTGGAATATTTCTATGACTATTTATTTTATTTTCTATGTTATAAAGATAAAAGTTCTAAATAAGTTACTGAACATGTAAATAAAAATATTTAATTATACTAGTAGGTATCCCTTTTTTTGTTTTGTCCTTCCCGATAGCTTGAGATTAGGCTGTTCAGGAGGCGACTGTATGACTGTACAATATTAAACGCAAATGGCTTTTTTCATAACAAAAATATCAATGTTACTGTTAAGATAAATCTATTTGCAAAAATGCGAAAGATGCCGTTCTGCTGTTGGTATCAAATTTTCTCGATGTCACTTTCAAGGTTTGAGATGTTTCGGAAATTGAAATTCGATAATGACCTCATATATCGTATGTCGTTTGTAACGTAAACAAAACTATAACTATATTTTATTACCTATTGCGTCACTGAACGTTGATTTTGGAAGTTTTGCTCAAATATAACCAAATCGATTTTACTCAATTGTTGCTAGACCGTTATGTTTAGTTTAGTTTAATATATTTCGATTAGGATTAATCTCTTTTTTATATTTCTTAATGATAAGTGTTTTAAAAATGCATATTTATTGGTTAAAACCCCAACATCAGTTAACACCATTTAAATAACTTCATTAACGGATATAAATAAACGTGGTTATCGACAATGATGGCGTGCGTGGTCGCTACAAATGCGTTAACGACGTTATTTAAATAATGTAATAAATTCACGCTGAGGGCATTATTGACCTAGTGGATTGAGCTTGTGACTCTCATCCTTGAGATTCGATACCCAGCTGTGCACCAATAGACTATTTATCTATGCGCGTATTTAACTCGCTTATACCATGAAGGAAAACATCGTGAGAAAACTGGCATGCCTAGTCACCCAAAAAGTCAAAGGTACATAACACGTAATTGTCTTGAAATTGGGTAATCACGTACTTGTATATTAGTAAAATAAATAATCAAGAAACAGATATAGAAATCAGAGGCTCAGACCTTAAAAGGTTGTAGCGCCATTGGTTCAATAAATTCACGTTATTAGTCATAAAGAATAACTAACTACATAGTATGTCTCACATATAATATTATAATGGGTGACTACTACTACTACTACGGACGCCTCGGGTTTGATTACTGGCGAAACAATATTGTTGCAAGCTGGTAGACAAAGGTGATTTATCAGAATCAGACGTAGAAATATCTGTCCCAAAATGTCAAATAACTCTTGAACTTAAGTTACTATGATATGATTTTAGTTTTCTAATTTGTTTTGGAAGCGATAGATATAGTAGGCTCAACTTTTGCTTGAAATAATCACGAATAAAAATAAAAGAAAGAGAGCGTCACAAAAATGTTATACAATATACAATTTATCCGTTTGACAACTACTGAATCCTCTATTGTTTTATGTGGAACAAATTTATGTTCCGTACATTTCGAGTATGTAAATAATTCCTCATAATCACGTAGCGATCCTACTGTCAGGGAGTAATGTCCTGTAATTAGATTTTCACTTACCAATTAGTTTCAAGAGAATTTCGCAAAAACGTCACTTTGTAGAAATTATCGGCGTCAAAGCGCTACTTTTGAGCGTAATGAGTTTTTTATATATATTTACATTTACGTGATGATGAAAATAATTTTACAAATATTTTTTAAACTGATAACGTTGATATTTTATCGTTACATATAATTTAATAATAATTGCAACTGTACTCAAGAAGTCACTTTCTTCAATAAAGCCTTATTATGCTTATTATATGCGAATATTTGGAGATGTTTTTTATTATATTTATGAATGCAAATACGGCGTACAAGAACGGTATAACTCAGACATTCTTAAGGCGAGGCATTAAACTAATTAAATTTAAGTCGTTGATGAACTAGATATCCGCGGTTGGATGAGATGGGTCGTGATTAATATTGCACTGGGTCCCTCTCCCGGGCGACCTTGCTAAGGCTGCCCTACTTGCACCTTTTAGCAACATTATAACGAGTTTTTGATTATAGAGATCTCAGGATTTTTCAAGGGGCAGGGCTCAGGTTTCGCGCACCTGAAGGCTGCGCAGAACTGAGCGGGGAGAGACGCGGGAAGTTTGAGGGTTGATGTTGAAGCCTCCTGATTATTGTAAATTTGCCAGATTTTAGGGTCCTTTGTGTTTTTATATCAAGAATATCAATTACTATATTTTCTCTGTTTGAAACATTTTCGTATACAAAATACTAAGGAAATATATAAAATCATCAAGTATAGATAAGGACAGATAAATAACTATCCAAGAGTTATGAAGAGCGCTTTGCTACTTTTACCTTAGCAGACTATGAAAAAGTTAGTTAATATTGTTATATGTAGTATGAATATAACAATATGCTGCGTAGCATGAATTTGCTACGGCGTAGCACAATAAGTTGACTCTGACAATGACTAGTTGTAAAGAATTATCTTTGGACGCATATCAAAGAAATAAAGTATCTAAATTTATAAGTCGTATAATTGTAATAATGAAAAATATTTCACTTATCTGATGATCTAATTAAAAAGGATACTATTGTAATTTAATTTTTTACTATGAATAGTATTATTATCCTTATATCAAAAATGAATGTGAATTTTCTGTCAGATTTAGGGTACTATAAATTTCGTTATGGTAACCCCGTTACCCGAAGATCCCGGGCCGTGGCGGGGTTAGTCCCGCGCCGAGCGCCGCACGGGCCGGCCGTGTTAGTCAATTGGCCGCATGAGCGCGCCGTGCTAGCGCAGCGGGCGCGGGTGTGGTATGCCCGCGCGCTCGCCATGGCCCCCATTCTGGCGGCCTTGGCGCTTCTCGCCCTTTTACCCGGTGAGTTATGCCCTTATAATGACTCAAAATGACAAGTAATATTAAAAATACGCTATTTTAAACTATATCTATTAACTTATATTTACTTTACGACGCGTAGGAATATTTGTAAATAATAAAAACGTTTTTTGTGTATTTCACTATGCGTTCAAAGGATGATAAAATTTATAGTTAAGTGCGTGGTTTAAAATATTGTTTGATTTTAACAAAACACTCGATATATTTATTGATAATTCTGTGTATAATATCTATTAATCAGTGAATTCACTGATCTATTATCCTGATAAGCAGTCATTTTGAGATTGTCATTATAAGATCGGGGCATTTCCGCGCAACAGGCGTTCGCCGCGCCCGCGTTTGTTTATCAATCGATGAGGTGTTGTGAGTGTGTCCCTTCCCCCAGGATAGTCTGTGGTACGGTAAGGTCTACTGGGCCCGATATTGGGCCGACTGGAGCGTGACGGGCTCGGGAGATTGTGTCGTTACTCTAATGCCCTTTACTTGCCTTTGTCCGTAGATTGCTCTATTGTTTGCGATAATTTTCCTCTTAGACTAAAGCGTCTCTATCTACTTGTTACTGTTATATTTTTGAACACGCAGCAGGTGTTATTCTCTTAATGATACTCATTTTAGCTCAAATTACAGATATTAATTGCACCCTGCATATTAAATATCTACTTCAATAGACCTTTATCTTAAAAAGGTTAGTCAATAAAAATCTAATTTAGGATGTATTAATTAACGTTGAATATGATATTAAATACATTACCACTTTTCTATCTTAAAAGTATTACTAAATAATACAAAGATCGATCGATAGTGACTGTTTCTTCTACTGTAAAATTTAACATATACCGAGTTTCGTAGCATGCCGCCCTCTACGATTTTCGTAGCACATATAATCAAAGTACATTGTAGCATATACTTTACAGTAAAGGTATATTTCTGAAAACATTTAGATATAAAAGAGCATCGTGTTCTTTATCGTCGTAATAGTTTTCCTAAGGCGTGAGGTAAAATCAATCATTCACGAAGGCTGTCACGGTACTTAGTAATGCTACTCAAAGTTGATGGATTGGTCCCATATTTCATGTAATTCCATAATGTGTTTATTGGTTCTAGAGCACACGTACTTATTTTATTTATACTTTTTATACTATAACTAGGTTAAAAGGTTAATTTAAGTTTAAGGACCGCAGGCGACGATCAATGTAATAATATATAATCGATAAAAATATAAAATAGTGCTTTTACATAGAAAAAAATTAGAATCAAAGATTTAATTATATTTTCATATATAATCAGTAACTAAACTATTACAAACAACTATCTACGTACGAAGATTAAATAGACTATTTAATTTGCAAGGATTCCTCTCTCTTATTAGTTTTAATCAATAAAATAGAATTAATACAAAAAGCTAAATCTTTATAAAATTTTTGAGTGGTAATGTTTCTCAAACCTTAAATGAACAAAATGGAAACTATAATTACCCACTAATCATGTTAGTCTTTGAATCTTATGCTTGTCTATACATAAGCATGTTGTGTATAGCCGTGAGAGATACGCAACATTTCGACGGTACAGAATTTGCAATGCTTTTAAAATACAACAAAGTTCTCAACATATTCTTTCATTATGCATTAGTTAAAAGATCTTTCTTAAGTGCTTTCGGAAATAAATTAAAAGTAAAAGTTTGGTTCAGTACCTTAAGCCTTAAGTTGGAATTAGCTTAATTAAGTTAATATTTAATGAGAGCTTAACTTCTTAATCGGAGGTGCTCAATCAAAGTCGCTTTTTCTTAGCACTTAAAGAAGGTTTGCGGCTTCAGACTTCTAACAATTAGCCAAGGCTTTATTATTATACTTTTTGTTGTTAAATTTAAATTGTAATAAAAATGGTTATAGTAACAACAGTAATGGTATCTGGATAAGGCTCATGAGCTGTATTCTGTTCATTCCCCAAACAATTTTATGAAAGTAAATTACCAACTAAGCTGAAATTTAGTTTTTTCAATTCTATATTAATTTAATAGGTGCTTATAGTAATAATATCGCATCAATATTATTGAAAGATCTGGGTATAATTTTATGATGCATTTGAATGGTATATCAAAACCTAGACTAAGGGAACTACATGATGATACATCAGCTTGCAGATTGTGTTGACGTCAATATCGAGTTCAAATGCTTGATCAAATAGTAGTACTTAATCAATATACATAACATAACATCACGGGGACGCTGTAACAGGTTATGTAAATTTACTGATGTTCTTGTTAGTTTGTAATAGTATTCGAATAATATTTCTACAACGTGCTTCGTTAATACTTATTTAAATAATATATAATTTTAAATATGTACAAATAGACTAAAAAACAAATGTTAGCGCGATCGTTCTCTGTTACATTTAAGGCTTTGACAAACTTTGCGCATAAACTTGTTTCTGAATTTTATATGTGTAAATCTCTGTCTCAAACTTTATTATAACTAAAATGTAACAATAACTTTTCAGCACCAAAACAGCAAAGTTGATGTAGAAATTTTTCATAAAATACGATATGAAAGATAAACACTTAGAAAACTATTAGAAACTCAGTAAAGTTTTTACAGAACGCAAGTTCAACGTTCGAATTATCAGCAAAGTCGAGACGGTGACAAAAACAGTATTATTTTTACCAAGATCCATTTAAAAGTTGTACGATTTTGCAAATCCGTGGAGTCATTCGCTGCGTAAAACGAAAAACTTGAAGATTTGATTTCGACTATAAAACCTTTACATACTCTTAAACTCCCCCAGCCATCTGAATAATATATGGGGCTAGGTATCTTGGGTGCTTCTAGTTTTATGGCGGTATAAAATTTACATTTACAAGTCAGGTTAGAAAAGGGTTTGAGGTTCAACGAATCTCAGGTTGGCTGAGAGCACTCAAAGATTAAGATGTCAAGGTACGCGAAATATAGAATTTTTGACTTTTTACATGGAATTTAATATCTTGGACAAAGACGTAATTTTTTGTCTCTTCCTAAACATTTCATTATGCATTTTTGTAAATTTTTCCTAATAAAATATTTAAATTTTAGAATTGTTTGTTGAGATGTATCTAGTGTATTACAGTTAGGAAGTAACGGTAACTGTAGTATTGTCTTTGATTGACATAACCTTAACACATTTAAAGAAAAAAACTGTTTAACCGGATCAAAGTTATGTATTATTATAAATTTACAATTATTTAACATAATTTTAAATTTTTAATATCCGCGAAAATAGAGGACACCGTGAGCCATTTCTGCCAAAACCCTCCATCTTTTAGTCGATACCAACTCCGGGGAAATAAATACAGATAATGCAACTTTTTCTACAGCTGTGATATTTTTTGACATCCAACACCTTTTGTCTTCGGTCACCGTGACCACGCACGCTGTAAAGCACCCGAAACGTCGGTTAAATTTAAAATTATGTTAAATAATTGTAAATTTATAATAATACATAACTTTAATCCGGTTAAAAAGTTTTTTCTTTAAACGGTAACTGTTTTCTTAGTAACATTTAATATTATTCGATGCAGTTTTGTTTTTTTTTTTAAAATAATCTTTTCTGTCAAATCGACAATTCCGAACCAATTAATTAATATAATCATTCAACAAATCCACCGAAGTTATAGTACTGTTTACCTTATACGAGTAGTAGTTAATTATATATTACTCAAATATACAATTAACTACTATACCAGTAATTTGCATGAACAGTTACACAGTACACAAAGGCCTTTTATGTATTAAGGTGTCATATTGATGTAATATCCATTTATTAGTTCCCATTTTAGTTTATTAGTATATAAAGCAAAACCTATAACTTAACATATATTTTACTCTTGTTTTGTTGGGAGGGTTTTGGGGTCCCGGGCGGGTTCTTTACCCCTTTTTAAAGGCCCCCCACAAATTCAAAAAAAGCACATTTTATATATTATTTGACGCTCGCTAATTCATCGTAAGCCATAAAAAAAAAAAACAACAAGTTTGGAAATAAATCGAATATAGGAATTATCAAAGTTAGCACGATGACAAAAACATTTTTGAAGAATATTTTTCCAAGATCCATTAAAAAGTTGAACCAAATTTATAAATACGAGGTGTCATTGAAGATGATCAGTGATTGTAGTCAAATACTACTATGTCCTTTATCATATATATAAATGTTCTGTGCGTGTGTTTGTAATTAAAGTGTTAAAAGGCAGGAGTTTTTAGTGTGCATTCAAGTGGATTCCAGGATGGTTTAAATTTAGAATTTAATTTTTTTTAATATTTAAAACGTGTATGCAGGACAACATCTCTGGGGTCCGCTAGTATGTAAGAAATAATCTGACGTGAAACACACATTATCACAGTTCAGTGAACGAACCTCCTTTGTCTTAAAAGAAGAAATTCTTAAGCGTTATTGAGATTGTTGATATGATACTGATATAAAGATCAACGGAAAATATACCTTTTATATTAATTCCACGCAGACGTCCCGTAAATCAGCTAGTTCCACTATAATAGAACAATAGTTCGCAGAATAAAACGTGGACAATAGCAAAAAGGCGTGATATAGTGAACGTGGCGAGATTTATAGAAACGCTGTCGTGAAAGCTGAAGGCTTTACATCTATCATTTTCGTGCCATTTACGTATCGTGTTCCAGACTCGTGTTATTTCACCTCAAGAAATACCATATTAATCTTCAATATTGTTTTACGATGATATTTTTTGGTACTGTACATGGCAGATATAAACGTTGATGATGTTTTAATAAAGAACAGTATTGTACCAACTTTATATTATTCATCATTTCATTACAATACTCAGTACCAATAAAGGTACAGTACCAGCTTCTGTTGCTCTGCCTACCACATTAATTATAATTTGAATTCATTTGCAAGAAATATATAAGCCCATGTAAACATTATCGGCACATATTTTATATCGAAACCTATCATTGTTTCGGCAAAAGTATCATCTAGAGCCTAGTGGCTTCAGAGCCTAGTGGCGACTCTCATACCTGAGGTCGTAGGTTCGATCCCCAGCTGTGCACCAATGGACTTTCTTTCTATGTGCGCATTTAACATTTGCTCGAACGGTGAAGGAAAACATCGTGAGGAAACCGACATGTCTAAGACCCAAAAAGTCGACGGCGTGTGTCAGGCACTGGAGGCTAATCACCTACTTGCTTATTAGATTTAAAAATGATCATGAAACAGATTCAGAAATCTGAGGCCAAGACCTAAAGAGGTTGTAGCGCCACTGATTTATTTTATTTTATCATCTAAATAAAATACAATTTTATGATTAATTGCTATGTCTGTACTCATTTGTCATGTCATCTATTCACAAATGTCCGTTACCACAACAATAGCGAAAAAATCTGCATTTTTTTACTTTTGGCTCGAGAATATTCGAAAAAAGAATGTAACCTTGACCTTG